CTAGTGAATGGCAGCAATATACTGAGTCGTCGGGAAAGTCATGATTCATTTTTTCATAGGAAAAGAGAAAAATATGTTATGACTTTCCCAATGACCTACTGCATTAGAAATTTGGCCTTAGTTCCAGGAATAGTTCTGTTTTGAGTATGGATAACTTCCTTGTCTTTGAAAGTGATGGTCTAGGACTGACCATATAAACCAGTTCTTGTCAGTGGGACATGAAGAGAGGTATAAGAGCTTCTAGAACATTTCTTCCTTATTCTGAAAAGAGATCTACTGCCAGCCTGGCTCCTAGTTGATGTGAACATAGAAGAATTTAACCTAAATTGCTACCAGCAATCATTCTTTGATTATAAGGAAAACCATCCTAATGAAACCAGACCTGTAGACAGCAGAGTGTAGAGACAGAATCTGGATTCTTGTTGATACTTGAGTTCTTAGAACCAACCCTAGCATTGGGCCACATTGCCAATCTGTGAAGTAGTACATTTTCTTGTTGTTTAAGTTACTTTGGGTTGGTTTTTTATTTGCAGACAAAAGCAATAGACTTCTGAATAGTTTAAATGTAGTCTTAACAATCAACAGCATGAAAGTTATTCTTAACTAGAATTAGTAAAGTATCTGAATTTTCTTTTTACTTTGGAAAGAAAGGGTTGAAATGAAGTATATAATATGCATTACCACGAACTTATTTTTGCAATAATTTGATGACATTCAGAGTTGGCTGCTTTTGAAATAGTAGAAGGCAGGATAGTATACCAGATAATATATATCAGATAATCTCTATCATATTCAGATAATCTCTATCAGATAATCTCTATCATATTCAGTTTAGGAATACATTGTTTTATAAGTTCTGGATCAAACAGCTAATAATTCATAACCAGTCTAAGTAAGGAAAGCATTTTGTGATCACATGTGAGGAGAACTTAACGAAGTTCCCTTCATTTCAATGTCTTACATTTCTTCTACCACTTAGGCATACAATATTTACATTCCTCATTAGAAAAATTCTGTAGGGTCATCCAAGAAAAGTTGCATGTAAAATAACTGAGATAAAAGTAATGGTTAAACAACTTTTCAAAAAAAGTTATGGCTCACCCAGTTAAACTTTTTGGAGAGGAAAGCTTCTGAGTAGCAGAATCAGGAATCAATTTACTTCAGTTTAATAGATATTTATTGGAAACTATTGCTATAGCAAGCGATATGCAGTACACTAGGGATATGGAAATTAATAAGACCACATATCAGAGTGTAAGGTACTTACTGTTTAGAGATCAAGAATGTGGAAACTCTTCAGTTCAGTGTGAATTGTGCACAGTAATCTTTGTGTAAAAGTGTAGGAACACAGAGTAACAAATGATTATATAACTCAATTATCTGGCCCAAGGAAGGCTTTACAAAATGGTTACTTAATAATACTTCTCATAACTATCTGTTTAAGAAAGAAAATAAAATGAACCACAGAAAAGTCTATGGGAGCATGCTAGGAATAGTGAGAAAAACACACTTTTAGATGTTTTTGCTGTATGGCACATGCACTCTCTAAAAAGACAGATAAAGTGAAAAATCACTCCCAGGGAGGATGGCCATGCCACAATCCCTTCTCCATTCTTCTCTCTGGACCGTGGGCACGCACGCATATGGCTCCTGGCATGAGTTTAAGCGACCAAGTCCAGGACTCAAACTGCCGTCAACTACATGGGAGTCCAGTGACGTAGCCATTACGCCATCTGCTGTTCTCAGAAAAAACACACTTTATACACGAGATTAACTAATTTCTGACCCAAATTTATAATTTATTAGTTCTGTGACCATAGGCAACTCATTTATTCTTTTCTCTCTTTTTACATTATATAAAAGTCAATATGTTGCATTAATTTTTGTGAGAATTATTATAGCTACTACTCTCACCTAGTATTTATTGAATGATTACTATGTTTCAGGCACTATGCAAAGCACTATTTATTTATATTTAACTAGAGGGTGTGCTTGCCAGAGGGAGACAAAGAGTCAGAGAGAGATGGAGAAGACAAACCAACCTCCGTGAGAAATGGTGATGCTGCAATCCCTTCTTTTCCATTTCTTCCTCCTTTCAGGATTTTGGACACACACACACAAAGTGTTTCTTAAGCTACTGATTCTGGAACTCTAACTGCAGAATTGGCCATGTGGGTTCCAGCTGCCCTAACCACCAGGCTGTTGATCTTGCCCTGCATACTTTTCCTTAGGTAAACGCTTCATGTTCTTATGTGGCATGTATTAATATGGCCTCATTTCTAGTTGGTGATATCGAGGTATGATCAGGTAAAATAATTTCCCCACAATTGTCCAGTGTCATAGCAAAAAATGAAGACCAAGCATTCAGTATGCTTTTAAGGCTTCTTTCGTTGAGTCACTTTCCTGTCCTCTTACCTTCTCCCTATTTTCAGAATTATTAGCCTTCCTTAATATTCATCCAGTCTCTTTTTGTGTAGTTAAAAAATACTTACTGTTGTAAATAGTACCAAAAGTAAGTTTTGGTAGTTGATCATAGGATTATGAAATACTATTTAAGAATCAGG